TGTAGGTAAAACAAACCTGAACGCGATGTTAAACCCCATTTCACCTCACCTCAAACTGTTAAACGGCAAATTACCTCGGCAGTGTGCATGCATAACATGCAATCCGTTAGAGCGGTGTTCACAACATAGTAGCAAACAAACGACAAAAGCCCTATGCTGCTCTTCCCGATGTGTGTCTGTTACCAAAACTAGGTTCTATACTTCTTCAGGTTGTTTAGCCAACGAGTTCCAGTGTAACAACTCCCACTGTGTCGACATGATACATCGTTGTGATCTCAACAACGACTGTGAGGGCGGAACTGACGAAGAGGGGTGTGGTGGGTATCAGCTCAAATTCTATATTTCGAACTGCTTTGTTTGTTTATGTGTTGTTTAACGTCGCACTCAGCAATATTCTAGTTATTTGATGGCGGTCTGTAAATAATCGAGTCTGGACCAGACAATCCAGTGATTGACATCATGAGCATCGATCCACGCAATTTGGATCGAGGACATGTATCAACCAAGTCAGCGAGCCTGACCACTCGATCCCGTTAGTCGACTTTTACGGCAAGCATAGTCACCTTTTATGGCAAGTATGGGTTGCTGAAGACCTATTCTACCCCGGAATCTTCACGGGTTAACGAACAGCTTCTGAATTCGAAGTCGAAAACTGATTTGATGAAAGGTTTCCACATTCTTTTGTTAAATCGTATTCACTGGTTTTTTCAACTGATTGTCCAGAAGATGATAAAGAGGGGATAACTCTTATTATATTATATTCATACTTTATTAAGTTGATCCCCGTATGTACTTATTGCTGAGTAAAACCTAAAAAATGTCATTGCCATTTGTGTCCATTGTTATACAAAGCTGATTCATGTTGTTTGTTCTAAGCTTGAATCTGTAACAATATTTTCGAAACTATTGAGCATAAGCAGGTGAAACAGAAACTTGATAAGATGTGAATGCTTCATATTCTCATTCCAGAGACGTATGAGTGTCCGAGTACTCATTTCAAGTGTAACAACCATTTCTGCATTCCAAAAGATAAAATGTGCAACTTCATCGATGACTGCCTGGACAACTCGGACGAAATCAACTGCAGTGAGTATTGTTTCCTTATCCACTGCTGGACTATAAACCATTCAGGGTTTCATAACTATGTTTAAACAGACATGTGTAGATATTGAGATACAGAAATGGTTAAACAAACTACCAGCTCCGATATCTTGTCAGATTGTAATTCATACTGGTCTAGAGGTAGAGCGTCCGCCCGGAGTGCGGAAGGTCCGGGGTTCGATCCCCGGGCGCGTCATACCAAAAGATGTTAAAAGATGTTACTTGTTGTTATGCTGTCTGGCGCACGGCATTAAGGAACTAAAACAAGGACTGGACGGCTCGGAGTCAGTACACTGTGTCTGAGTGGTGTTTTCATGTTAAAACTGCGGCATGTTATCTCAGTGAGCTCGCACTGTAAATCGGCTTCAGTCCTGACAAGTACAAGCAGCCACGCACACGTACATGCACGTCGCTTTATTAGTGTAATAATCTTAAACGCGATGTTAAACCCCATTTCACCTCACCTGTAATTGATACATGTCATAACTAGCGCCAGAGATGTATATCACATCAAGTGTTTTAGCTAAAGATTTGATCTGTATTTTATGTAAGTTTCGCACTCTTTCTTGTAGTTTTAAGATACAAAAATATTGCGGTATACTAAACGTTATGCCAAAACTAATGTTGATCAGTTGCTGTTATACTAGTACTGTACCATTAAGATTAATTAGGTGTTGAGGACGAGTACCATCTTGTACGAGTTTGTTCATGTCATAAGCAAAACAAAAATACCGTTATTTCACAATATTTCCAAAAACACCCATCTTGTCAGAAATTAATTGAAATAATGTCCTCCACAACTCATTCAATAATAAAAGGTCTTGATTTGTATCAGACGAAAATGTATGTGAATAAAATGTAATAAATATAGTATCATCACGTTACATATCATTGAATAATTGTACATCAATAGTGTAAGACCAAAAAATAGGTAAGGTATATATGTATTGTACTCTGGGCCTGATGAATCCTGAATCTTGAATCTGTGAACTATTCAAATGGTCACTTATGATGTATATTTTCTTCCAGACCGGCGAGAGTGCTACGCGACTGAGTTCAGATGCAACAACTCGGAGTGTGTGCCTGCTGCCTATCTGTGCGACAAGCAGAAGGATTGTCTGGATGGTTCCGATGAAGATGTTTTGAGCTGTCGTGAGTCACAACTCCTATTCGAATTTATTGATTGATTGAGTGAGTGCGTTAGATTTTAGGCAGCTTTAAATTGACCCGTACTTCAGTTACTGGAGTGTCAGCTCAATGTGGGTGGAGAACACGAAGTGAAGGTCTAAGACGTTTTCCGCATTCATAAACATACGACCAGGCTGACAAATCAACAATCATAATGGTTGCAACTCACAAATTCGAACCCTTGATCGTAGGTTTGCTACCAAACTATAAGCATCGCTTTTTCACTTCTGGACCACCCGTGTTCCCTACAGACCTCATAGACGTTAACTAATATGTTGTCTCATGTTTTCAGTTGAATATGTCATGCTCCTGTTTTTTGCCGTTCATATGACGGATGTGTTTCTAGGTCATCACCTTCGCTGTGATATTGGTCTCTATGTGTCAAGTAAACAAAAGTGTGATGGATGGGTGGACTGTTACGGGTCACAGAAAGATGAAGTCGACTGTAAGTGCACGTATTTTGTCTCTACCAAAATTCTTCCACTCTCATGTTGACTAGTTGTTTGTATTCTGTATGATATCGTTCAATGGCTTAATTATCATTAATATTCAACTCTCTGTTGAAAGAAATGCCTCTGTAAATGGCACCGGGTTTCTTGAAAAGAAAGATGGTGAGGTATCTGCGATAATTGTGATATTGTTATATATCGAAGGGTGAGTGAAAGGAGATAGATGATCTCACCCTTGTGTCTTTTGATATCAATTATATTAAAACTCGTTGATAAAAGTTTTAACCTACGATGCTTGTCGAGGAATTATAAACCTTTATCAACGAGTGTTGATATATTTGACACAAGGGTGAGATTATCTATCTCCTTTCACTCAACCCTTCGATTTTCATATATAATATCACAATTATCGCAAATACCTCACCAATTTTTAAAGACACGGGGGGGGGAGATATCATTTATCATCCAAAATCATTCTTCCATCTTTTCCATTTGGACACAGCAATAGAGTGTTTTTAGTGTAAAAACTGCAGCTGTCCAGCCTCAGTGGCAGAGACATGTAATGGAATTTAATTGTTGCATCATGGTTACGTCGCACTTGTCTGTGGTCTGCACAGCATTATAACGCAATAATTATTTCATCTCAGCGATATCTACTTGGAGAATAAAAGCGACAAAACCGTTCCAGATTCATTGGAAATCGCTGCCAAAAACAGAGACGATTGATAGAAATCATGCGATCTCACCCAAGCGATATATCCTATGGAGGATAGCTTTGGATGATAAACAACGATACCTCCCTTTTCCAGGTGAACAATGCTCCCGGTCACAGTATCGCTGCAACAACAATCGATGCATAGGCTTGGCCAACGTCTGCGACGGCGATTGTGACTGCTACACATGTGAAGACGAGGTTAACTGCGGTACGTCCTGAAAACTGATGTTAAACGGACGGATGAGTGAATAGGTTTATGTATTGTTCCATCCATATCATGACGATGCGTCTTATTATGGGTTCCACGATTACGCCAACATGCATATGTGTATGTAGCGTCAGACCAGGGACCTCGGCCCAAGAAAGCAACGCGGTGATGGCTGCACTGCCTGTGCCATATGTCGTTAAACCTCACTCGCTCTCTGCTTCTCTTTGAGGTTTCCAAATGCAATGTTCCTGTGAATATGTTGAAACAGACACGAGACACGTGAGAGGCATCAATGAGATAACAACTGACAGATGCTGGTAACAACTTAAAAACCATAGAGTTCTGATATGAACACGCAATGTCATTTAGAAAGTGGTCAAATGTAACAATTGTTATATTTGGGATGACACTTTCTTAGTAAAGTACAGATTCTAGGAGGTTTTTAGGTTGAGTTCCATCCTTGATTCGAACCCACACTGCAAGAGTGAGTCACCTAAACGGCAGCACGCGAAGGCAGCGATCTAACCCACATTTATGCTTCCGCAAAAATGAAAATCTCACAACCTGTAATCTAGATCACGTGTTTTGTGTACCCCTCTAAATGGCATTGTGTGTTCATAGCTTTCGGCCACGGGAGCCGTGCCAATTTACACTTGTCAGAGGGGTACACAAAGCACGTGATCTACACAACCAATTGTCGGACTTTCAGTTTTGCGTAAGCCGTGGTGGCTGAGTGGGTCAGATCGCTGACTTTGTGTGCTGGTGATTAGGTGCCTCACACTGGCAGTGTGCACGTGGGTTCAAATCCCGGTTGGGACCCAACCCCAAAACGTACTAGAATATGTACTTTACTAAGGAAGTGTTATCCCAAATAAAACATTTGTCTCATAGGGTACAGGTGATAGCTAAATCAAAGGAAGAGCACTGACTCAGAAGATAAATTGAATTTGAGAGTAAGTGGGATGTTATTTGATTTTCTACCGCAATGTTCTTCTTTTTGTAGGCAGTATAGATTGTGTACGAGGAACTGGCTTCTTGTGCCGCAGAAGTGTAGACACTAACAATAGATGCATCAACAACAAGTTCCTGTGTGACGGAGTGAATGACTGTAGGGACACAGCTAGGGGTTCTGATGAAATCTATTGCTGTAAGTTCAAACTCCACATTTGAACATCCCCAGAGTGGAACGTTTGTATAATTTGTGTAGTTCTCCGGCGGTAGGTGACGAGTTTCATTACCTATTTAGATGTGAAGCTTTTCTCCAATGACGGTCTATGTAGTTACCAAAAGTTCTCTCCGAATGGTCTAATATGAATAAATTGGAGAAAAAAAATGTATACGATAGAATTTTTTTTTATCCAAATTCATCAATGCCATCTTTAGAATTATTGAAGCTGATGAAAACGTGTATGAAATTCTTATAATTATCACTTTATTTCTGTCATATTTCACTGTAACCTGTGATTCTTATATGTATTTACACAATTTCTTCTGTCATCTTGCTATTATTATATTATAAATTTATGTTATAATTTTTCTCTTTTACCACCGTTTGAGGGTTTTCTGAGAAATAAACTGAACCGAACTGACAATATCCGATCAATTCACTAGATTCGAAATTCGCTTCACCACGTGTATATTACCTTTTCATGATATTACAATGTCCTAGGTAGATGCGAAGTTCGTTTCAACATCAATGTTACGTCTACGAGTTATAAACCATTTGGTGATTTTACAATATCCGAGGCAGATCCGAAGTTAGTTTTCGCACATATATCTACGAGAAGGTATGAGTTGAAATAATATGTTTATTCGAGATGTAGTTGAGGTATAAGATATCAGTTGTAGGAAAATATTTCGGTCCGTCCGAACAGTTATGTTAGATCATGAGGATAATAATTTCTTAATAAAAAAATGAGATTATAGCAACTTGTAAAAACAAAGTTTAAGAACATCTTTGACAAAGATTTTACACTAAATGAAATCTGCTTCGTAGGAAGACTGGATATTCTCTGTCGTGGGCCATTTTTATGTAAGAAGCTGTTATCCATACATGACCATGTCTTAAAGCTAAATTAGTGAATACTGTTTATGTAAAGTTCTTATTTATACAGGTATATGCGTGCAAACTTTGAATTCTCCCACTGAGAACTGTATTTGTTTTATCTTTCAAGCTCGGAACATCAGCGATATGTGTGCAGATTTTCCACGTTCCGACGCGCATTTCGAATGCCCAGACGGTCAGTGTATACCAGCCAAGGGCATATGCGACCACATCGCCGACTGTCGTAACGGGGAGGACGAGAGGGGATGTGGTACGTTTACAAACATTGTTGTTTCTATCACATTGACTAAATAAGCAGCGACAACATAGATGGTCACAACCTGTGTCATAGTACTATCCTTTACAGTACAATAGTACAAATGGTACTGGTAGTGACCATATATCTTGTAACGTCACAAGTATCTCTGGTTTATATCACCAACAAATATTGGTAGTTTGTTCGAATTCTTGATTCGCCCTAATTATGTTTCTAGTTATGTTTCTGAGAACCATACCCGTGCTCGTGGGTTTCACCAAAGTGGTAGACGTCTGAGACTAGCATCCTTTCGGGCTTTCCCTCAAGACCAAGCTGGTATTACTGAAATACACTCACTCATTAACTCTTGTAGTTTGTATATGGTCACACTGTTGATGTATCATGATACCCTGGGGTAGAATAGGTCTTCAGCGACCCATGCTTGCCATAGAAGGCGACTATGGTTGTCGTAAGAGGCGACTTACTGGAACGAGTGATCAGACTCGCTGACTTGGTTTATGCATGTCATCGTACTCCAATCGCTTGGATCGATGCTCATATTGCTGAGTGCAATATATGTCTACTATGTATTTCACAAAGTACAATTGATACAGAATGACAAACGTACTGTCATTAAAAGGCTGAAACGTGAGTTTAATAGTTAACAGATGTGATCACTCAGCGACACACAAAGATGTTTGTGTCATTTCTTAAATAATGCTTGAATGTAAGTGAGAGAACTTATGGATGTCAACTTCTTTATTGTGAGGAACAAAACGTTTCTGAATATATGCTTACTCCTTCATCAGGTAAGCATATACTCTGAAATAATAAATTCTCTCTCTCTCTTATGTGTGTCAATTATAAATGCCCTTCATGTCGTTAAATGTTATTGCAAATGTTATCTTTGTTTGTATTATGATAGTTTCGAAAATTGCTTTGATAGCTTAAGTAATCTATTGTTTTCTGAGTAAGGATAAGAATTTATGGATGAACAACTTCTTTATTTCAATTAAGTGAGAGAACCTACACCCAAACGTCGCTCTTAATTGTAATAAAGAACTTGTTCATCCATAAATTCTTATCCTTACTTAGTACTCCAACTTCTAAATGCCTATCAAAGAAGTTATTGTTTTCTGGTGCAGCGTGAACAATTTATTTATTTCCAGATTTGTTTTGGAAAATCTGCCATATGCACATCATTCATTCGACAAGACACAACATAGGTTGTCGTAAGAGGCGACTAACAGGATGGGGTTGTGTTATGTTTTGAAGAATGATTCCGTGGGAATTTAGAATTCAAACAAGAAAGATAAATATAACTAGTAATTTAGTACCATCGTCTTTAGGTGCGATTTATTTCGACAATCAGTTGTATCATTCATAATCTATATTTTACAGGGTTTACAACATGTTTTAGTCTCTTCACAATCTTTTATCAGATTTCAAACCATGCCCTGATGGTTACTTCCGGTGCAAGAACGAGAAATGCGTTCCCAACATCAAGCGCTGTGATGGAGCCTATGACTGCTGGGATCGCTCAGATGAAGTAGGATGCGGTATGCCTTCAAATAGTTTCAGACAAACACTGCAGTTAATATACTGCTATTGTATAAATGCAATTGATCTATAATTATTATAATATAACTATATGACATCAACTGTCTTTGGACACAATATACATGTTGTCAAAAGAACATGTGCAGTCACATCTTCAGCATTCTATTTCAAACTATTGACATTTCAGCACATTCTGTTTAAGTACTACAACAATTGCTCAGGAATCAAATTATCAGTTGCAATTTGTGTAATTTTACATGTTAAGAATCGCAATCTAGATGAAAGGGGTTCATTTTCGATGATATAAAGCACGAATACATTTTACACCTTCAGGGAAAAAGAGAAGACATTTGAATTTTGCTTCTACGAAATCCCAACATGATAAACATCACATTTGCTTCAGACATTGAACATGTATAACTATCTCGAATCAAATAGTATACTTACCACCATTTGCCATGGATACTAAATACGTGAACTAGCATGAGAAATATTTCTTTTTTATGTTCTTTTGACATTTTAACATTTAACTGAAGCTTGAAATAGTTCCGTCGGGTCGTATGACTTCTAGCAATCAGTCACATTCTGCCTCAGCTAATATAATAAAAACTTCTTCAGGCTAAGTTGAGTAGTATGATGTCTATAGTTGCAAATCATGGGAGAAACCTGAAACTCGATCTTGAGGTATGCTGAAACTATTGAAAAAGACATAATATTAATAATGTTAACATAAAGACTCATTTGGAAAGGCAGACAACAGTCTATCAATGTGCATAACAATGCGTGTATATGTCTTGTAGAGGCGTTTGCTTGTAAAGATGGCTACCGGAAGTGCAGAGGTGGTATGTGTATAGAGGCGAACAAGTGGTGTGATCACCGGAGAGACTGTCCAGATCAGTCAGACGAGACCAACTGCCGTACGTGTTTATTCCCACTAAAACAAACCATTTTGTTAAAATATGTAGGCCAAGAAACGAGTTAACATCCTAAAGGTGAATTGCTATTCTTATTTCTGTCACATGAAAATGAAAGTAATCCCACCAAAGTGGACCCGCCACGTTCAAGACTTACAGCCCGGATTGCTTGAGTGTTGCAATCATTAAGGAGTCGAAGGTGCCTCTTCTCGCTGCTGTGTCAGCATTCGCCGATCGTGGGTTCGAAGCCAAGATTCATCTGATGATGATCCTTGGTTTGCCAATACCATAAGTTTCACTAAAGTTGGACGCTTTGGGTTCTCCCTTACAATAAGGTCAAATGCCGATGTTACTTAAAAACTTGTTACTGTTCAAATCAGCGTTAAACCGAGCTCTCTGAACTACATGTACGCATTAACTGCAATAGATGAAGTAAAGTCTTAAACAGATTCCCGGATGTTTATAGAAATATAAGTTCTTCTGATTTCAGAATATAGAGAATGTCTGCCTGAAGAGTTCAGATGTAACAACAAACAGTGTATAAGTAGAGACTATGTGTGTGACAACTCCAAAGAAGCCCTCCAATATGGGTGCACAGATAAATCGCATCTACTCAATTGCAGTGAGTGTTTATTATTGTTAAGTCTTCATTCAGCATACCCGGCCACAATCGAATGTAGAGTAAATATACACTTTTCTGTTCATTGCATTGTCCATAAATGTATCCATACATATACAAATGTTGAACAACTAATCTTTCGTAGATAGGCTTTTACTGACCTCCGTCGTATGGCAGGAGCATTGCTTTGTAAGTGACTGACAAACAGTTACTGTTTTATGAGTGAGTGAGTGAGTGAGATTGGTTTTACGCCGCTTTTAGCAATATTCCAGCATTATCACGGCGGGGGACACCAGAAATGGGCTTCACGCATTGTACCCATGTCGGGATTCGAACCCGGGTCTTCGGCGTGACGAGCGAACGCCTTAACCACTGGGCTACCCGACCGCCCCTACTGTTTTATGACAATTGAGTGGCGGGCTCCCGGTAGTGCAGGACATGCTTACCCTTTACATCACTCATCTTCAACGACCCATACATTTCATTTTCACGACTATGGAGTCTGTTGTGGCGGATAATCGAGACTGATTTTTCTCTGACGTTGAAGTTTCATATTTTGAGGTTAAAATTTTGAAAGAAATAATTGAAATATTGCGGCCGAGTTAAACTCACTCACTCGTTATGAATGATTACATGTTGAATTCTATTGTGACGAATAGCTTTTGTGTTAACGCAAACCAAACGTCTCTGAAAACGTAGTAGTTCCACTCATTGAACAGCTAGACATAAGTGTAATAAATGTGACAGTTATATTAGGGATAACACTTTCTTACTTGAATGGGTTGAGTGGGTTAACTTAATAAGTTAAGTTGAGTGGATTAGATCGCTGAGTTTGTGTGCTGGCGATTAGGTGCCTCACACTGACAGTGTTGGTTCGAATCCCGGATAGGACCCAACCCTCCAAAATACTAGTGTCTGTACTTTACTTAGAAAGTGTTATCCAAAATATAATTAATTGTTTGTTGTTTAACGCCGCACTCAGCAATATACAGCTATATGACGGCGGTCTGTAAATAATCCAGTCTGGATCAGACAATCCAGTGATTGACATCATGAGCATCGATCCACGCAATTGGAACACGATCGCATGGATCAACCAAGTCAGCGAGCCTGACCACCCGATCCCGTTAGTCGCCTCTTACGACAAGCATAGTCGCATTTGTTACATTTGACCGCTTTCTTGATGTGTGTTCATATACATATGTGCGTTTAATAAACATTTTGATCAGCATACGGATGAATAAACCTATCATTCTTCCAATTGTTTTGCAGCAACCAAGAAATGTAAACTAGGGCAATTCAAGTGTAGGAACAGCTACTGCATATCCCTTTCACAAAAGTGTGATGGCAATTTAGACTGTCACATGACCTACTGGGATGAACAGGGTTGTGGTGAGACAAAACATTAACAAACATACCTTTATTATGTAAGGAAATAAAGACTTGTATTATTCATTGAAAGAAATGTAAGTGTGATTGTTGTGGTTGACCTGTGATACGTACATCATGTAATACATGTCGTTTGTATCATAAGATGTAGTATTGTATCACTAAAATGTTAATTCTGGAATGATGTTAGCATGTGAGGGCCGCATCATCGGAGAAGATATTATTTATATAAAAGTCCTCAGTCATAGTCGGTAGGCAGCTTGCGATTTCGGGGCGATTTGGGCCTGCAAGATTAACTTTATTTTCTTAACGGATGTGCGTATTATGATTGCGCATGAAGAGTTTTCGTATTATGATTGCTCCCAATAAAGGATGTCCGTATTATGATCGCTCCCCATAAAGGATGTCCGTATTATGATTGCTCATAAAGAGTTTCCGTATTATGATTGCTCCCCATAAAGGATGTCCGTATTATCATTGCTCATAAAGAGTTTTCCGTATTATGATTGCTCCCCATAAAGGATGTCCGTATTATGATTTCACATAAAGAGTTTCCGTATTATGATTGCTCCCCATAAAGGATGTCCGTATTATGATTGCTCATATAGGATGTCCGTATTATGATTGCTCATAAAGGATGCCCGTATTGTTATTGCTCATATATAATGTCCGTATTATGATTGCTCATTAAGGATGCCCGTATTATGATTGCTCATTGAGGATGCCCGTATTATTATTGCTCATATAGGATGGCCGTATTATGATTGCTCATAAAGGATATCCGTATTACTATTGCTCATAAAGGATATCCGTATTACGATTGCTCATATAGGATGTCCGTATTATTATTGCTCATAAAGGATGTCCGTATTACTATTGTTCATAAAGGATATCCGTATTACGATTGCTCCCCATAAAGGATGTCCGTATTATGATTGCTCATAAAGAGTTTCCGTATTATGATTGCTCATAAAGGATGCCCGTATTATTATTGCTCATAAAGGTTATCCGTATTACTATTGCTCATAAAGAATTTCCGTATTATGATTGCTCATAAAGGATGCCCGTATTATTATTGCTCATGTAGGATGTCCGTATTATGATTGCTCATATAGGATGTCCGTATTATGATTGCTCCCAATAAAGGATGTCCGTATTATGATTGCTCATAAAGGATATCCGTATTACTATTGCTCATAAAGGATATCCGTATTACCATTGCTCCCCATAAAGGATGTCCGTATAATGATTGCTCATAAAGAATTTCCGTATTATGATTGTTCCCGAAAAGGATGTCCGTATTATTATTGCTCATAAAGAGGATGTCCGTATTATGATTGCTCCCGAGAAAGGATGTCCGTATTATTATTGCTCATAGAGGATGCCCGTATTGTTATTGCTCATATATAATGTCCGTATTATGATTGCTCATTAAGGATGCCCGTATTATGATTGCTCATTAAGGATGCCCGTATTATTATTGCTCATATAGGATGGCCGTATTATGATTGCTCATAAAGGATATCCGTATTACTATTGCTCATAAAGGATATCCGTATTACGATTGCTCATATAGGATGTCCGTATTATTATTGCTCATAAAGGATGTCCGTATTACTATTGTTCATAAAGGATATCCGTATTACGATTGCTCCCCATAAAGGATGTCCGTATTATGATTGCTCATAAAGAGTTTCCGTATTATGATTGCTCATAAAGGATGCCCGTATTATTATTGCTCATGTAGGATGTCCGTATTATGATTGCTCATATAGGATGTCCTCATTATGATTGCTCCCCATAAAGGATGTCCGTATTATGATTGCTCATAAAGGATATCCATATTTCTATTGCTCATAAAGGATATCCGTATTACCATAATGATTGCTCCCCATAAAGGATGTCCGTATAATGATTGCTCATAAAGAATTTCCGTATTATGATTGTTCCCCAAAAAGGATGTCCGTATTATTATTGCTCATAAAGAATTTCCATATTATGATTGCTCCCCATAAAGGATGTCCGTATTATTATTGCTCATAAAGAGTTTCCGTATTATTATTGCTCATGTAGGATGTCCGTATTATGATTGCTCATATAGGATGTCCGTATTATGATTGCTCCCCATAAAGGATGCCCGTATTATGATTGCTCATAAAGGATGCCTGTATTATTATTGCTCATATATGATGCCCGTATTATGATTGCTCATAAAAGGATATCCGTATTATGATTGCACCTCATAAAGGATGCCGGTATTATGATTGTTCATTAAGGATGTCCGTATTATGGCTGCTCATACAGGATGTCCTTTTTATGATTGCTAATAAAGGAACTGAATATAAGGTGACTATGCTTGTCGTAAGAGGCGACTAACGGGATCGGGTGGTCAGGCTCGCTGACTTGATTGATGAAGGTCATCGTATCCCATTTGCGTGGATCGATGCTCATGATGTCAGTCACTGGATTGTCTGATCCAGACTCGAGAATTACCATCGTATGGACAACCGTCATATAGCTGGAATATTGCTGAGTGCGGCGTTAAACAACAACCAACCAAATGATAAAGGAACTCTGTTTTCCTTTATCAACGCCTCTTGTGCTGGCGACTGAAGTAAGCTGGTGTGTTTGAGTATATTCAACGAAGGACATGCATATGTACATTTTTATAAGACGATTATTACAAAGTTTTTATTTAAATACTTATCTGCTTACAGCATTAGCATCAACCATGCTAATTCATGTTCACCAAAACAAAATAGTCTTTTATTGTAATGAAATCGGAGCACATCAATCTGTTTTATGAATCATTGTACATCTAATGTTGTATCTTTTTAGCATTCACGTGTCCATACAAAGACAACAGGTGTGAATGTGTAAACGAATCGATGGACTGCAGTAACCGCAGCTTAGAGGTGCTTCCAAACATCAGGGATACAGCTCTCTCCAAGTTGTAGGTAAAACAGTGACATACTGTAATACTTTTTCACGTTTTTTGTCTGTCCCACGTGTGAAATCATCATGCTTGCCTAATGTCAGAAATTAACAGATTGACACTTTGCCGTTCTATGTGCCATATACGCCTGAAGAAATGTGAAGCAAAACCCCTTCTTTATTTTCATGTTGATTAAACTACGGTTATAACGAACTCAAATGGACCACTAATTTAAGTTCGTCATAACCGTAGTTCGTTACAAGCATACATACAACATCTATACAGCAAATGGCGGGGACCAAAAGTAAATGTCGTAATATCCGTCAGTTCGTTATAAGCGTGTTCGTTATAAACGCACTTTACAGTCTACCGAAATAATTGATCGCACTTCAGCAAATGTCTAAGGTACCATCAATACCTGATGAACATAGGCACAAGAGCATCGTGGTTTTCTCCAGATGGTCACAAGCACAAGGCAAAATGACTATTGTATATTGAATAGAAAGTTACCAGTGACTAACAGTATTCCAGGTGTATTATAAGTCATAGCAGGATCACGAGGGGAACATTGGGCTTTATGGGTGCCGCGTTAGCTTTCATAAAACCTACGAGGGAGGCATAAAGCCCCATGTACCCCAAGAGGTCCTGCTACCATGAATTGATCTTACCGACATGTTTAAATATGACATTGTAAAAGAATTAAAACAAATTCAAAAAGGATAGAAAACAGCTGTTCGATTTAGCTGCGGCTCACTAATGCTATGTCACGTGACTTCCATTGAAAAAGCGTGTGGCTTTTTGCTTCGTAGAGGGGTATAAGGCATTTATTCTGACTATTAGAAATCCACTTGCAGCTTGACTTGCTCGTGACGGTGTATAAGGGATTTATTCTTCCGATTTATTCTTTCCCTCCAAGGCGGGATACGTAGTATTTTATCAAGATCACGTGAACCAATCAGATTTCTGACATAGAGGTATGGTAATATCATTCATGCAGATGTTATGTTACTAGATATGACCTTAACATGTAGCATGTCTAGGCGTGTGAGTGACCTTACATCACGGAACTTCCTGCTGGGGGATCCTTTTCAGACACTTCTAGAAAATACGATGTACGACATCGGTGTCTTTGAAAAAAGGTTAGTTTTTCTATGATGTATTTCATTCACATTTCATTGCATATTCCTAACGCGGGTATCACTTTTATTCGACTATCGCGTGTCTTTCAATGTCAAGATCGGAAATATCGTTTTTATTCGCTTCAGTGATTTTGTAACCAATGACGAGGACGGATTTCGTCCACTGTCTCCCTGCCTTATTCAACATTGAAGTACACACTGAGAAAGGCTTCATCCTGACTGTTGATGGACATGCTAATGGCAGCAGGAAATAACGTGTTTAGTTGTAGCTGAAGTCAGGCACATGGTACGGTCATATCTAACGGCATAATTCAGTGAATTTTTTTTTTTAGTGTAATGATAATTAATGTGTACAAAGATAGCATCGCAGTTGTATTGTTGTCTTTGCGTGTGAAGAGGTTTGTGCAAGCTTTCAAAAGTCAGGTCCTAAAACGTGGCAAAGGTACTTGCGTCATGACTTGTTTGTTCGTCGTGCGTTGTCGTTCTTATGCAATGCCTACACAAGTTGAGTTAGTGAGTGAGTATGGTTTGTAGCCGCTTTTAGCAATATTCCAGCAATATCACGGCGGGGGAACATCAGAAATGGGCTTTACACATTGTACCCATGTCGGGAATCGAACCCGGGTCTTCGGCGTGACAAGCGAACGCTTTAACCACTAGACTACCCGACCGTCCCTACACAAAGTGAAGCCAATTTTAAATTTGCAGAGGGTTCATACTGTTTCGAATTTGTTTTTACCTGAATAACACTACAGGTACATTCCACAAGTAGTAAAACTATTTAAGTTGTTTTGAAATAATTGGTTATCCAAAACCTTTAACAGCTGTCAATCTAGCTTTGCATGTGTTTGTGACGGGTGCTATCATTGGGGTAAGATACGCCACCCCCACCCTTACACCCCCACCCCAACCCCCAACCTCACCCTTTCGCGAACAGCGGATATCATCATTGTTTGATAGTGATTCGTAGACACAATGTCATGATGCTGAATCATACAATGAACTCGGTTTTTAGCAGAGATTTCTTATTATTAAGGAAAGGGTATGTCGCTTTAATTTGTGCGATAAATAGTGACTACACTATACAAAATGTGTTTTGACTTTAACCCATACAGCGCATGTTTAGGAATATGTTTAAGAGCTGAGAGGAATACGCATTTGGTGTGTTCTATATAAACACGTTTTGGGTCTAAACATATGAAATGAGCATTCTCACTGCTTGAACACCACTTAAACACAACAACGCGTTTACACGTGTTTAGAATTTAAACATAGACGACGACGGAATCCCACTTTTCTAAAGTTAACCCCATACTTCTATATCACCATTAAACGCTAAAAACATAATTATGGAAAGCGCCTTTTTTTTCAATTACCTGCAATCAATTTCAAGGTCGTTCCCTCATTTAGACCATAAACACGTTTAGCTGTTATACACGATCCCAAACATGTTCGAACCAAAAACACGTTACAAAATATGGGGGAAAAACGTGCTTAGGTTTATGTTAACATCTTAACACATTTGTACAGTGTATAAGCAAGTTTTCATTTGTTGCAGATACAAACGTCACAGAATATATACACATGTACACATTTTGACTCCACAAAATTTCAACTCTGTATAGGCGCGCGATTACAATATGAAATGAAAAAAAGACGCTAATTCACAAAAATAATTATTATGTATACATTGTGTCCGAAGAGACATTAATTGGATGTTTTTAACGCTTTTGGAACACTATTGCCGACCAATGGAACTTGACCAAAATCTCGTGTATTTTTGTACATTAAGTCTTCATTGATGTCATTTTTTCGCCTGCTTGTTTTTGTCAGATGGGGATCTACGAGTTACAGGTGTTGTCTATTTACCGTGTGTTATTTTTTCAGCGATCTTTCAAATAACCAATTGAAGATTACAAGTGATACATTTGCGGCCCTAGATCGACTTACGTATCTGTAAGTATGAATAAATGTCTCGTCGTTTAGAGACGTTTAGCGCAATCTGAGAAAACAAATATCGTATCGAGTTTGCCTTTGTGATGTTACATCTTGTACGGTTATATCATTGTTTCTTACATCTTAGAATGACTCATGGGGACATGGCGTTGTTTCTCTACTTGAAATGAGATAATATTGATGGGCCAGGGTTTGGGAGGCTGTTTGATATTGCAACTACTGTTTTGTTGCACGCAAGATTTCACTGCATCAGCAAGGGGACAGTATATCAACTGGTGTCATCACCTAACAAAGTGACAGTAGCTGGATATCGGTGATCAACAAAGGGTGTAATTTATGTTTCAGAGACCTCAGTAAAAACTCTATATCCCATCTCCCTGATGGCTGTTTCCGAAACCTATGGCGTCTCGCAACACTGTAAGTATCCACTGAAAGAACGTCATCCCACTCTACGAAAGTTGTTTGATCAAGGTGGTGGTGGTGGTGGAATGGGGTTTAACGTCGAGTCCAAGATTATTGCACTTATATAGCGACGTACATGTACGTGTGTGTGTTTGTGTTCAAATTTGATGCTTGATGTCCCATGAAATTCCTTATTTTGACTTGTACCAAATGTTCTCGTGTATTTCGAGGTAAACAATTGACTTGCCTTTGCATGTGTATTTGACGGGTGGCAATGGTGAGGCAGGATACGCTCACGTTGCTTGCGAAAACCTGTTATCGTCACTACCTGATAGTGATTCAAAAACACATGCTTGTGACATTATCGGAAAAGTACAATCGACACTGCTTTAAGTAGAGATGTCTTATGATTATGGAAAATAATTCTTGTTGCTTTCATTTATTATTTATCATTTATTTATTATCATACATGCATGTTTCCAGGAATTCTGCAAAGAATTACAAAAAGCAAATACAAGGTGTTTTGAAAATTAATTTTTCGTGTCGTGCATTGCTTAGCCCTTGTTAAATGGCACGCGGCATAAAATGAGCTTATGAATATGTGTCACATGCTGCAAAGACGTCTTTGTCTCCATTCGCCTAACGCGTTGGTAATCTACTCGAATAGTCATATCTCTTACTAACTGATGTTGTTTGCTTATCACTCTTATTCCCATCAAATATCATATTTACCTTTTCTGCCTGACTACATTCGCAGCAAGGACAGTGGCTAATTGAATATTGACTGACCATGTACGTCATATGAAGTCCCTGAATCTCTTGCAATCATAATCAGTTTTGTGACTCATGTTACGTATTTACACGTCCTCCTGATACTGTATGTGTACTCATTTTGTATTAATATCATCATGTACCACAATATATATACACGTACATGTACCTGTAACGAAGCGGACCGCATCCGTGGTCTTGTGGTAGAGCGTCCGCCCGGAGAGCGGAAGGTCCAGGGTTCGATCCCGGGCCGCGTCATACAAAAAGACGTCAAAAGATTGTACTTGTTGTTACCCTGTCTGGCGCTCGGCATTAAGGGGCTAAAACAAGGACTGGTCGGCTCGGAGTCAGTATACTGTGTCTGAGTGGGGTATTCATGTTAAACTGCGGCATGGTATCTCAGTGAGCTAGCACTATAAATCGGCATCAGTCCGGACTAGTACAAGCAGCCACACACACACATACACGTGCATGCACGTCGCTATATAAGTGCAATAATCTTGGACGCGACGTTAAACCCAATTTCACCTCACCTCACCTGTAACGAAGCGTGACGGTCACGTGGAAGAATAAGAACAAGTTGAAATACAAAGCCAATCTTGGCTTCCATAACAAACTTCCCAACCTATTAAAACTAAAAACAAATGTTATTCAAAACAACATAACCTTCTTCCTAACTTTGGTTTTTATCATTACATAGAGCTCAAACACTATTATTCAGTATACAAAACTTTATGTGAATAAATACAATTCAATTCAATTCAACACAATTAAATGCAATCCAATTCAACTCAACACAATTAAATACATTCCAATTTAATTCAACACAATTAATTATAATCCAGTTCAACTCAACACACATAAATGCAATCCAATTCAACTCAACACAATTAAATACATTCCAATTTAATTCAACACAATTAATTATAATCCAGTTCAACTCAACACAAATAATTGCAATCCAATAAATCTATTTAAATTCAATGCAATACCACTCAACATAATTCAATGTAATTTTATGCTACATAGTTTTCTAACTATGAACAAAAACTGTGGTGAGGCTTTTCCGCAAATAATTGGCACGTTGTTTTTAAATCTTGTGATACCCATCTAACGGGTTTCTTGTACATTGTCGTTTGTGTTTTACATTTCAATGACCATACCGTTTGGAGATTCCATAGCTTGCAAATCACATTTCTAAATGTCTACATGTGCAGTACATAAAAATGACCTTTTTGTAAGTCTGTCATTTAGGTCTTTGTGGATGCAAAATACATATAACCAACAGCGAGTATCTATTAACTGAAGGAAATTACTTCCGAGAATATAACATTTTCTATTCTTTGGAAGTAAAAGGGGATTCTAATGATAGTGATACATTTTCTGGTAAAAAGGGGCTAATTCAGTTTGAAAATTGTTTTCTTGGTTGAAATAACTGAAGGAACCATTAGAGCTCCTTAATATATGTCTCCTGTAATTTAAGCCTAAACGAATACATGTACGTTCAATTCAACTCAGCTGCCACAAATGCCTGTCCGGTTTCGTCAATAATGAATGTATTCAGGAAATAATTAACAAGATGGATGAGTTAAAGTACATATTGTTAGTGATGTTGTTACTTCAGAGTATGCGTAACAATTCGAATTGTGTGGAGAGATGGATAAAGAGAAATCGATAGGCATTTTCAATGTTTCCATGAAATCTCTCGGTGTCATTTAACATCCCAATCTTCCCAGATACAAAAATTAAGAGGATTGATCGCACGTCTTAATTAAAAATTGGGGAAATTGTTTTAACGGTTTGTGTTTGTATATTTTCAATTTTGCGAGTTATTAAGTTCTTGATAACACATTGTTTCTGTGAGCGGTTGAGTAATTTGGAATTAACGTCGCTGTGAACGGTATTCCAGTTTTATCACAGCTCATCATCTTGATGTGGGAGGAACGCCCGAAGTGTTTTAGACGTTTACCACTTCGGTGAAATCCACGAGCACGGGTATGGTGATGACAAACCTAGAAACATTATCGGGGCGAACCGTTTGGTTTAACGCCGCTTTTAACAGTATATATCACGGCGTGTCAGCTTAATGTGGGAGGATAGCCTGAAGTGATGCAGGTCTCAGTCGTTTACCACTTCGGTGAAACCCACGAGCACGGGTATGGTGCTGACAAACCTAGAAACATTATCGGGGCGAACCGGGATTCGAACCCACGATCATAGGTTTATGGCGTGCCCAAGGGACGCAACTTTGCACAGGACATTGCGGCGCCTTAGACAACTGGGCTTCAATATAGTAGAGGATTACATTGTTGAGGCACATTAGCAGACATGTCCGTGTATTATAGTGTATACATCAACGGTAATCAAAGTGCACATGTGTCTCGCCATCCCATTACAATACCCAAATGAGTGTTTACCATTATCATTCACACACATGAACAATATAATGTCCTATAACAAAGCTTGGATGTATGTTCCTTTGTCTCAGTTTACTTCTAAACTTACACAATGCCCTTGAACTTAAAGATCTTTAAGACCATAAAATTATCATTACTGTCGATCTTTAGAGATTGAACCTTCTGCAGTTCTGATGAAATGGCTGTATGTTTCCTTTCTTTCCTTTTGTTTCGTCGTTATCGTTATTCACAGATTCTTTGAATTGTCTTCTACTTCAGAAACCTGGAGGATAACAATCTAACGGAATTGAGCAATGCCACCTTCTATGGACTGTCTGGTTTGCGGCAACTGTAAGTATCAGATGTTAAATGAGAACGCAACTGAGTTATTGTTGTTTAACATTAAGTCATAGTGATTGTAAGCTGCGTTTCTGTGAAACGTTAAAGCAAGTCTATTTGCTTATTAGTCGTGAGTGAGATTGGATTAAGGCCACATTTAACAATATTTCGGTTATGTGTGCGGAAATCACGCAGGTCGTTGACGTCGTTACCACGCGTACGAGCTGATGGATCAAGAACAATAATCAGGGTGAATCGGGAATCAGCGGATCCTGACACCCATGTTCAGCGAATTGTGAGTGGGTGAGTATGGTTTTACGCCGCTTTTAGCAATATTCCAACAATATCACGGCGGGGGACACCAGAAATGGGCTTCCCACATGGTACCCATGTCGGGAATCGAACCCGGGTCTTCGGCGTGACGAGCGAACGCTTTAACCACTAGGCTACCCGACCGACTCTTCAACGAATTGTGATTCGACATCAACATGCCCGCTTTGCATATTTCTATTACTATTTCCAAAATAACAAACAATTTCTTTATAGGTATATTTCTGGAAATCGTATACAGATAATCTTTCCGGATGCTTTCTTCGGCCTGTCAGCATTGAGAACATTGTAAGTGCAAGGTCATCCTTACATATTCATAAATGTGAGCATTTCATTCTACTTAACGGTAATCATTTGGGACAAGCATGTACATTCGGGATTGATCTGAAAGTTCCCGAACAGAATGTGAAGCACTTGGTTTGTGGTTGACAATAACAGTCTATAAGAGATTAATATTTATAATTCTTAATATTATTATGCATTAACCTTTATGTACCCATGTGAGCGGAGTGAACCGTTCTTTGCTTAACCACACGCATGTTATATTTCCATTCTGTTGTTGTTCCAGAGATCTGAGTCAGCAACAAATTACATCACTTCCACTGGACGCATTCTTAGGATTACGATTCGCCTCTGCCTTGTAGGTTGATTTTATTTGAGTGTTTAATTATGAATAAATCTATAATTCTCTGTTTTCCGCCAAGAAGCAACAATGTTGTTTAATTTTATAATCATATATAGGGAAATGCATAAGGCATATATTGCTGTTTGATCTTATTGGAAGTACATGTAAATGTGTATTATGAAATTTTGGGAAATTATGTGTGTCCTGGTGATCATATGTTGACCCGAACGTCGTAAATAGCAAGCTGTAACGGGGGTATGTTGAGGTGAACCTTTATGATGTCAACGCCAATTTGTGTATTCAGGAATCTCTCCGGAAACAACATAGACCTCATAGAGGGGGGCGCCTTCAACGGCATGGATAAACTACAAGTATTGTAAGTTCAAACTTTCCAGTATTTTTCCGTAAAGATCAGATACATGTTTCTGCGTTTGGACACTCTTCAAGGAATATGATGGTGTAGTATATGACGGAGTCTCGACCAGTTATACCAGCGATTGATATTAGATTAAACTTGCGGTGACACGTATTCGACAAATTACCAAGGCTGACCGCCCGAACCATTTAATCGCCTCTTTAGAAAAGCATGTTTCAGGGCGCCTATTTTAACTTGTCATCTCCACGGGTAGATACCCCCAATTACAGCGATACTTCATTTTCGTCTCGTCCTCAAACAATCAAAATTAAATCGAGACAAACAGTGTGACGATATTGGACATTAATTAAGTTCGAATTCGAAGTATCATTGCAGCACGTTTCTTATGTGTAGGGGCCACTGTTTACCTCGTGGTTATACGTTTATTCACAACGTCAGTTGTATCAGTTACACCATGTAATGTTTATCTTCTACAGGGACATCAGAGGCAACAACATCTCCACCATAGACAAATACGTATTCCGTATACAAAACCTGGACACACTGTAAGCATACATGATATTTCCACTCATAAAACCTTGATGTTTTCTTGATGTGGAAAAACCAGAGTGAGTGAGTGAGTGAGTGAGTGCGTTTGGTTGTATGCCGCTTTCAACAATATTCGAGCAAAATCGCCGCGGTTGACACCAGAAATTGGTTTCACACTTTGTGCCCATGTGGGGAATCGAACCCGGGTTTTCAACGTGACGAGCGAACCACACCGTACCACACCGCCCCTATAACCATTTGAAAGAAAACGATCATAATGAGTCTTATACATCAATTACAAATATCAGTTGCGTACCATAACTGTTTGACAAGAGCATGTAGAACCAGCTGTGTAAGGTTTAATATCGTGTTTCTGAATTATTATCATGTAATTGGAGATGCAAATATGATCGTCAAAAAACACATTTTGTTATTGTAGCAATGACGATTTACTCCCAGATTTGTATTTGTTTGTTTATTATTTTTTCGAATAACTATTGAATAAATAAATGTACTTTCTCACCAGTTACACCGATGAGTATCGGTTTTGTTGTTTGGCGAAAGGAGTCAGCAAGTGTTACCCAGAACCTGACGAATTCTCGTCCTGTGAGGACCTCATGTCCAACTATATACTACGAGTCAGTATATGGATTCTTGGGATGGTAGCATCGTTTGGAAATCTGCTTGTGATCGGATGGAGAGCACGTGACCTACGCGGGGGCAAGGTGAGTCAGGATAGGTTATTAATGAAATAGTGTATCCAATCCATATTACGATTATGATAGGATTTTAAATTTGTATCGCCAACGCTATAGCATAACCAGTCAGGGTCATCCACTGGAAATTGCAATGGGCCTAAAAGGCAAACTAGCGGTGAAAAGTATATGAATGTATCACTGAAAATAGTGATGACACCAGGTATTCGCGAAAAAGGTAACCATGTCTGCCCTACCGGTAGTGCCGGTTGAAGCCATGCAGCTGATATAATCAACCAAAACGGGACATTTCAGGCATTTTCTTTCAATCATAATCAAAGAATTGATTCTCTTTAAACTGTCACCAATTATGTATGATTGGACATTCATTGTTATTTCATAGGTACACTCGTTCCTGATCACCAATCTGGCCATCGGCGACTTCTTCATGGGTGTATACCTCATGATCATCGCCGTCGTGGACTCCTACTACCGCGGCGTCTACATCATCCATGACCACTTCTGGCGAGCGAGTGCACTCTGTCGATTTGCTGGCTTCATCTCCACCTTCTCCAGCGAGTTATCAGTATTCACCCTCACAGTCATCACCCTGGATAGACTCATCTGCATCATCTTTCCTCTCAGACTCAAAAGACTTGGACTGAAGGAGGCCACTGTGGTCATGATTCTGGTGTGGTTGATTGTGTTCATCTTGTCCACGTTGCCTCTGATGGGATTAGATTACTTTGAAAATTTCTATGGCAGGTCTGGAGTCTGCCTCGCGCTCCATGTGACTCAAAAACGTCCCACCGGATGGGAATATTCGGTGGCGGTATTCCTTGTCCTCAACTTTGTTTCCTTTGTGGCTATATTTCTGTCCTACCTGTGGATGTTTATAGTAGCCAAGAGGACACGGAAAGCTGTTCGGACAACAGAGTCAAAGTCCGATGCTGCAATGGCCAGGAGAATGACTTTAATTGTTATGACGGATTTCTTCTGTTGGGTGCCCATCATCTTATTGGGATTTGCTTCTCTCGGTGGCGCAATGGTTCCTTCACAGGTATCAACTTTACAAAAACTATCTGACATAATTTTCATACCTTAAAGAAAATGAAATTCTGCCGTTCAGATGTTGGATCAATTATGTTGTCAGTGTAAAGGATGTTTTTACCAGTTCTTGCAAATCTGCATTTGTTAAGTATATATCACTGAAAACAATGAAGCTTGAATAATGACATATTCACATGAGTGCTTCGAAATCGTTAGTCTTCTTAATTTTGTATTTTTCGTTCCAGTCGTAGCCAAAGGTCATGCCACTGTCATTCGTTTTCTGTTGACAGTTAAAAACGAAAATATGTTTTTTTGTTATTTTTAGGTGTATGCCTGGATCGCAGTGTTCGTCCTGCCACTAAACTCAGCCATCAACCCCGTTCTGTACACTATTTCTACAGCTCCATTTCTCGGCAACGTCAGGAAGAGAGCATACCGCTTTAGGAAATCCTTCATGAGCTCCCTCACTATGGACACGAAGCACAGCTATGTTGGTACGAATCGTGACTATCTCTTGGCCTCTTGATTCGCCACTGGGAAAACAACCATTCCTGTCTTGAATTACCTCCTTCTCAATCAGACACAATTAAGTTAGATATATATTGATATAGAGAGCACCGAGATAACCCAACCAAACGTAGTTCTGATCATTGTAAAGCAATCCAAAGCAATTCATATTTGAAATATGTTCATGGAACGGATGTATAGCATGAGAACGTTTGGAATGCCGCTTTGTTCAATGTTCATTCCAATATTGGATAGAGAGTGTTCCAGTGTTGTCGGCGTTCTCATATTTCCTTTCCTTGATTAAGTGAAAGAGTGAGTGAGTGAGTGAATGAGTGAGTGAGTGAGTTTTGTCTAACGACCCTTGAACAGTTTTCAGTTATATCACGGCGTGTCAGCTTGATTAGTTGGCATAAAGTGCCCTCCATGAATAATTACGTCACAACTGTAACATGTACTGTTATTTTAGAGTTTGTAATTTGCATCTGATGCTTTATATGTTTAAAGTTATTTTCCTTTTCCGTTGAATATGCAATACTACTGTATTGAAACAAAGACAACGTAGCTAATGCCTTACATTTAATTTCAAGTCAATCTTTTTATGACTTCCCTCAATACGGTTTATTAGTGATTTATGAAATGAAAAAAAAATCTTTTCATGTCGTGTTTCTGATTAAAACTTTAAAAATAGTTATTAAAGATAGTACTTTGGTAATGTGTAATTCATATATTTGTGAACATTCTTGTAAGCAGTTAACATATATACATTTTGTAACCAGCACTGTTCATGTATTGCGTGTGTGCGTTGGATTTTGGCAACTTTTAGCAATGTTCCAGCAATTTTTAGGGCGGAGGACACCAGAAATGTGGCTTCACACATTGTACCCATGTGGGGAATCGAACCTGTGTTTTCGGATTGACGAACGAACGTTTTTACTGCCAGATTACTCCCCCGACCCGAACACAAAGTGAGAGTAATGTACATTTTTCGCATTCTCTCCTTTCAGATGAACGTTCAACATCAGTTTGGGACCGGAAGTCGCCATACAGACATATGGACTTAATACGCATGCGTAATATGAACAATCGATCCGATGTCCAGTCGCAATCTGATCAGTCAGATTACTAGATTCAATGACAACTTTACAAAATACGTGTGCTTTAGCGACAAAGATGCTATGTTTATAACCAGCAAGCTGTATTATCGTGTAATTCCTTGTTTGTTCCGGTTGTAAGCAACAGTATACTCCGTTTGCTGAAATGGGTTTCCCATGAATTATGGTCAATAGGATAGTTTCTTGTCGCTAAAACACACTGATCTATCAGAGCACAGAATAATGCCGGATCATTGTCTATTGTTATCTGTCCTGATGAATTCCATCCAAATTTTTAAATCAATTTTTGAGGTAAGTCACCACATTATCAAAGCTTTATATTCGAAAAGGAGAACTACTGTTTTAATACTTAGTTTATTATGTAAATGTTTATATGTTACTGAAGATCTGACTTCAATAGTGTATGTTCGCAAGGTCATTTTTATACTTAAGGGTATCACTATTTATACTTGATTTTGAACTGCACCATAGCAGTCATCATTGGACCGAATGCTGTCAGAGCTGAGACAAATGACGTCACAATGTGAGACCTGGCTGATTGTCTCATCCTACAGAGACGGTGTGAATCGTGGCTCATGAACTAGATGTGTCTAATGTCACGCCGACAACATTTATCAAAACAACATTTATCAACTCACGTGTACAGAATGAATGCTTTTGTGATCCAGAAGAAAGGCGATATTCTCACCTTCAACACTTCCACGAGTGCGACTTTAACGTTTCCACTTCACGGAATCCGTAGAAGGATATCTACCTGTATTTTAGTGACATATGTTCAAATTTCCTTTTTTGCAGCTGATGCCCAGATATATCATGACAACATGGCATTGAATATAATTTACAATGCGTTATTTGTGTAAATAGTGAACAGCATGACATCATCATATTTGGTATTCATATATGATACCAAACCAGATATGGTTAGTGATGTAAAGAGTGTTTTTTATATATATAATGTATGCCCATTGCAACAAACCACACTTATTACTTTGACATTAAAAAAGAATACAACAACATGTATCATTCATTATGAGTAACTGTATCGAAGTGATGTCATTGATATGTGATTTTCTTTACTTAAAACAAACACAAAATGATATGCAAGTGTACAAATCGCTTATACCTTTGTGTGACATTGTGTCGAATAATCGTTGGTACGTCCCAGTACTGTGTGGAGAACCTTAAAGTTTGTTTCGTAGCCCGTAAACAAGATCATCAAAACTGGTAATATCGTTTGTCAGTTTTTAAATTCCATGTACAACAGTATAATATATCATTGTATGTATTACATTGCCTCATACGTGTGTACAGTGTTGTAGATATCACGTTTTATTTATTGATGTAGTCAATGGATTTAATCATTTTCAAACATGTACTGTTTTTATCTCATTAATCAATAAACCAATTGTACTTATGTGTTGAGAAAATATGAACTAACAATTAATACAATTTTTGTTGTTTTCATGTCAAACTCACCACGAATTGTTGGTGAAAAAAAGACAAAACCCATTTGAAACTTGACAGTTATGTCCTTGTCTGTATTGGATGCATGCTAAAACAGGCTATGGTGAATGTGTCAATATGCCTCTGTTACTACGTGTATTGCCGTTATGTACATGAGTATCGATATACTAACCTTTCCATGATATTTGATACTTCTAAATAAAGGCACGTGAACAACCACCTTTTTTCGGGAGAAAGTACACATTCACAATCTTGAATCTGGCATTTTTAAAATCGTGATCCGGTATAGTGGTAATATTTGTTTTACGACTTGGAATGTACATCTATTCATGATTATATAATGAATACAAGCCACGAACAGGCGTATATTCACAAAACAGTTCCCATTTGACACCTGTAAATAATCGTCTTTCTGACAGTACCTATGGTGATAGAATTACGTTATTGAGACTGTTTTGTTATTTGTTGCCGTAAATCTGACCTGTGCTCATGAGGGATGATAGCATGTCAATCGTGTCTGCGCATTGTATAATGACAGGAGTAGGATGCTTAACATAAACATCAATTACACACATAAATACAAAGGTATTATTCTCAATCAGAAATTACCTTAACTGGTATACAGTTAATGAGCTTTTGTACTGTATAACATGAGTCATATATAACACTGCACAATAGAATCTGCTTTTAGCAGATTTATTGTGATTATGGACATGTTTTTGTTGATTTTATTTATTCACAAAAGCCAAGAGGTGCCATATGTTAATGTTACTGTTTTATTGACATTCTTCTTTTGAAACTGGCTAATTTTCTTACTGGTGGAGCTCATTCTCCAAACTTGATTTTGATATTCACATTCTCCATTCATCTGGAATCAAGAGTTTCATTTGGTAGTTCAGTCTAGTTAATGACAATAAAAAAGCCGCATCCCAGTGTCACACTGGATATTGATGAGAATGTCAAGACCGACACTGGACTCACACTGCGACGGACCATATTGAAACATAATCTTTTACGTCATATACGGCAGATTCACTGCGCGTGTGTATGTCTTCATTTTTTTATTGAACATTCTTCTGCAGGTGAAAGTACGAATATCCATCAACTAACATGTTACAGCACCACTATTTGATGATTATACTTGGTAAGGACTTGAGAGTGAGACAGCAATGCCCTTATCGAGTGTATGATATAATAGCTGTGTTCAATATGTTGGCTACATCATCTGGCGGCAAAGCATCATGTTATTGTTGGTGTATTATTGTTACAGATTGCGTAGAGCTTATTGGTGCAAATAGTAGAGTATTGTCAAGTGTTGAGTTTTGTACTATTATGCTCAAAATAAAACTCTATTTTCTAATAGTATCTGAATTGTTATCATTTCCGAATATTCCAGGAGCTCAGATTTCCGAATATTCCAGGAGCTCAGAGTCGAGTGTACACTGTGTCCCATTGCAAGCCACAAAGGCTCCATTCTCGGGTATTACAAGCAAATTTTAAAAAGGATTGTTCCCTATATTCCATATATGTACAAAGTGAGAAGGCAATTGCTGGTGTTTCCCGATAGATGTTAATGTGTGAAGCCAATTGGTAGTTAAAATATCAATACAATAGAATAACCAGTCTTGATCCAGTACAATGTGTGAAGGCATTTGGTGGTGCTTACCGATTGAAGTTAATGTGTGAAGCCAATTGCTGGTGCTTCTATTATCAATACAATAGAATAACCAGTCTTGATCCAGTACAATGTGTGAAGGCAATTTGTGGTGACTATAATACCCTCACAGTGACTATAATACCTTCACAGTGACTATAATACCTTCACAGTGACTATAAAAACCTTCACAGTGACTATAATACCCTCACAGTGACTATAATACCTTCACAGTGACTATAATACCCTCACAGTGACTATAATGTATAATGAATCGAAAACAATAGTGGATGATATAGTCGGAATCATATAATACACTCTGCTTTTCGCAGAGATTTCTTATGAATATGGGAAGGGCTTTGTCACATTTATTTATATTTACATGAACGAGGTCAATTTGTAACGTTGTGATGGAATCCTGTGGTCGCGTGTACGTATTGATTCTTGAACCATACCCGTGCTCGTGGGTTTCACTAAAGTGGTAAATGTCTGCGACCTGCCACACTTTCTTCCGAAGAAAAGGTGGTACGCCGTTATAAAACTGAATTCTGTTCGAAGTAGTCATAAAATCCAACTTCCTTATTAGAAAGCTACTCCTGTTGTGGCCTGTGGTTCACTGGTGTACGTCTTCCCATTGTGACTACGTACTGTTTCAATACACATGCTGCATGGAATACCACCACTCACTCTGCTTCTATACGTTTTAGGTGAAGATGGAAACGGAGTAAGAGTAGTCAAAATGGGGAAAAAACAAAACATATTCCTTGCAGTATTCTTTTGGTGTGTTCATTTAACATTGTACAAATAATTACTGTTGAAGAGGTCAATATGCGAAAACAAGGGGCTTGCGGTGCTTTGATCAGATTGCATTTTGACCTCGTCAAGAGTAATCATTTGGGAGGTTTTTATACCAAAATTCATTTTAAAGTTTATGAAGCCATTAACCCGTCCTCTTTCATAAAAGTAACTTAACTGCGAACTGTAAAATGTTAGTATACCAGACGCCCATCTCCTTCCTCGCAAACGAGTCAATATTCATCACGTTACAGGACAAGACTGAGCATGTGACGAGTCAATATTCGAGGTCAGTGTCAGTCACATGATTTGGGGGTCTACATTGAAATTAATTGTATAGTCACATGGTACGGATAAACCAATGGAATTCCAAGGTTCTTAATAGAGGTATACCAATAACTAATGTGTTTTCTTCTAATTGAAACTGTATTTAGACATACTAGCAGTAAATGTTATTCATCTTTGATTGCATCTACGGTTTGTTGCTGACAGTAATCACAAAATCTATAATTTCTTGCAGTAGTATTACAAAGACCTGTTTCAATAGTTTGCTTATGACAAGAGTGAGTGAGTGAGTTGGGTTTAAACCCGTTTTTAACAGTATTCCAGTTATATCACGGCGTGTCAGCTTAATGTGGGAGGAAAGCCCAAAGTCATGTAGGTCTCAGACGTTTACCACTTGGTGAAACCCACGAGCACGGGTGTGGTGCTGACAGACCTAGAAACATGATAATAGGGGCGAACCGGGAATCGAACCAACAATCATAGCTTTCTGGCGTGCCCAAGGGACGCAACTCTGCACAGCAAATCGCGGCGCCTTAGACGACTGGGCCACCCGCGTCCCCTTATGACAAGAGATTCTCATCATTGTTAAGTGCTTCCTTAAAGTCAAAATGAACTCTCTGATTACTATACAATAAAAGTCTCTCATTACGACATACATTTTCTCTCGACTTTTAGATGCAGGTATCAATCATCTGGGTTTACAGTTGAAGGATCTAGTTATACGTTGAACACAATGTACTAATTTTAGTTTAACCGTGAAGATCCGGGGTAGAATAGGTCTTCAATTGACTAACGGGATCAGGTGGTCAGGCTCGCTGACTTGGTTGATGCATATCATCGTATCCGAATTGCGTAGATCGATGCTCATGATGTCGATCACTGGATTGTTGGTGCAGACCCGATTATTTACAGACAAAACAACAAACAGTTATTACTATTTAACAATTTAAACCAATATTTTGTTATTCTTACATATCTAACAATGCAAATATATGCTTAAACGTCACACTATGAACTGTGCGCCACCTAGAGGGATTATCTCCATAGGTTTCAGTAAGGAAAATTCCAGCACCTGTGCTATCAAAACATGTTGCTAACATCAGACTTTGTGCTCTTTATTCACAAAGAGTACCCCGACAGATTTCCCTGTAAGTTGTTCTATGTGATTGTTGTGCAAATAAAGAATATATGGCCAAAATCGAAAATATCAATTTCACTCATTAGACATTGTTCATGTACATAGACAGAGTACAGATGGCGACTGAAGTAGTCCATTATTCTATAGGTACATGTAGGTTCATTTTACACCTTCTTTTTTGTAGTCATAATGACAATAGTCACAATGGGACTCACACAAGGACATACCATGATTGTTTGTTTGTTGTTTAACGCCGAGCTCAGCAATATTCCAGCTATATGACGGCGGTCTGTAAATAATCGAGTCCAGTGATTGATATTGTGATTTATGATTATCATGAGCATCGATCAACGCAATTGGGATACGATGACATGCATCAACCAAGTCAGCAGTTATTGAACAAATATTTCTAAAATGCTTCTCTAAAAGATTGGCGGTACCAACGTTACTTTATCCTGCGAAAAAGTACATTTTTTATTTACACCATAATGGGCTGACGTCTTTACACTTGTAAAATGTTTTGCGATTGTCACGTGATTAAACTGTTCCAAATTTATATGGAAACTGATATTTAAATCCTACTTATCGGGATTTGGACAACACACGTTTTATTTGTTTGTTGTTTAGCGCCGCACTCTGCAATATTCCATCTATACGACGGCAATCTGTAAGTAATCGAGTTTGGACCAGACAATCCAGTGACTGACATCATGAACATACATCTACGCAATTAGGATACGATGGCATGCTTCAGAAATACATTAGACCTAATTTTCATTGTGCTTAATGAAATGTTGTATATCAGGCAGAATATCTCCAACACTGCGACGACGAAAGGCTGGACTTCCATACAGATAAACGCGCTGTAATAAAGTGTAGGAGGAATGCAAAGCAAAAGAAATCCATGATCGCATGTGTAAAGTGATGGGTAAGGATCTTCCTGACTATTCCACAGTTTGCCATTGGTCTCTACAGTTTAAAAGGGGTAGGGAGTCCATAGACGATGACCCAAGGTCAGACAGGCCTTCAGATGCCACCCAACCGGAAACTATTTGTGGTATAAAAAGAAGCATTTTGTCTGACCGACGAGTGAAAGTATCTGAACTCTCTAGGGAATTCCAAATATCAGTTGGAACTGTTGTAACCATTATTCGTGAGCATCTTGGTATGTCCAAGGTATCTGCAAGATGGGTACCTAGAAGCCTCAGAGCTCAAGATCGCCATCAGAGTTGTGAAAGTTGTCGAGACCTCCTTGATCTCTATTTCTTTCTCGATTAGTGACAGGTGATGAAACATGGATCTACCACTGGGACCCAAAAACTAACTTGGAATCCATGCAATGGAAGCACCCCAATTCTCCGCCTCCGAGGAAGTTTCGCACTCAACCATCGGCTGGCAAGGTAATGGCCACAATATATTTGGATGCAAGAGGCATATTACTGATTGATTACATGCCACCAAAAAACCACAATCAATGGACAGTATTATGCTAATGTAATGAAAGAATTACGAAAAGCTATTCGTCAGAAACGCCATGGGATGTATTCTACTTTAGCATGACAATTGCACAGGCCGCCATATGTGAATGTGGATTCGAACAGTTAAATCGACCACCCTACAGCCAGGACTTAGCCCCCAGTGACTATTTCCTGTTCCGGCAAATGAAATCTGCCCTACGTGGAAGACGATTCCAGGATGACGAGGACATAAAGGCCGCCACAGAGTCGTGGTTATAGGGCCAGTCTGCGGATTTCTATAAAAGTTGTGTTGAAAGCTTGGAGGACAAATGGAGTATGTGTATTGAGATGAATAGAGATTATACTGAAAAATAAAAGTGCAAAAGATATTCTCCGACTTGGTCTTTTATTGAAGTTGCAAAACTTATTGAACGCCCCTCGTATTTCAAGATTCGGCGGAATACAAGCATATGAAGCAAATCAGTTTTAATATGTGTGAGGTTATACACATTTTTGTTTATATCTAGCATTTCATTTCATACATAAACATTCCATTATAATTCGTGTGCTGATTAAAAATCACGTTTGGTGTTGAGTGCAATGCTCTTCAAATGAAAAGTGTTTATGCAGAGCTGTTGAATGTTTTGTTGAGACGTTTTCTTGTAATGTTCTGTACATGTAACATGTTTGCACAGACAGTGAATATGAAATTGTACAAATGGGATTTCATGAATTAGTGACATTATAAATGATACGATCTGAGACGGCAAACCATCATAACAATTATTTAGTCAAACCAAAGTTGTGAAGTTAAGGGTATCATCGAGTATCAGTAACATATCAGTTGATAACATTTTAACGTAAGAGGCGACTAACAGGATCAGGTGGTCAGGCTCGCTGACTTGTCGACACATGTCATCGGTCCCAATTGCGTGGATCGATGCTCATGATGTCTCACTGGATTGTCTGGTGCAACTCGATTATTTACAGACCGCCGTCATATAGCTGTAATA